ACCCAAGTACAAACCCAAGCACTCATCATTTATTCCTCATTTAATTTTTCTTTTAATAAATAAAATATACTAGAGCATTTTTATTGGTTGTCATGTATTCTAGACCTAGTAATTTTTGGTTTTGCATTGGATAGATTTTGGTTTTTAGTTTAGGTTTGTCCATGTCATTATGGACTTAAGTCTATTTATTTGCCACATATGCAAAAAGAGACCCAAAGCATTGTGGATGCTCTTAGGAGCGTTTGTTGTTTAGGGGCGTTGCTGGAAGGTCAAATGTGTAATTACGTGTACTGGTGGCTCTTTATCATTGGGTGGCCACATTATTCGGTTTCAAGTGTGGGGCTCACACCGTTGAGCGGGTTTGGACTTTCAAATGCGAGCATCCACAATGCTTTGAGTCTCTTTTTTCATATGTGACAAATAAATAGACTTAAGTTCATAATGACATGAACAAACTCAAGCTAAAAAATCTAAAATATATCCAATGCAAACAAAAAAGTACTAGGTCTAGAATATTAAACAACCAATAAAAATATAGTAATAATAAATGCGTACAAAAAAAAATGTGTTTTGCCTACTAAAAAGAAAAAGAAAATTGTAAACAATTAATGACTAGGTGGGTTTGTACTTGGGTCCAAAATAGACCCAAATATGGACTTAGTCTCTTTTTTGGCTAAAGGACACACAAACTAGAGTAAGTTATATGAATACCTTAAATATGAGATAAAAACTTTTATCACATGAAAGAACTATTCATTAAACTTCTTCATCCAAATACGTAAACCGCATAAAATGGAAACAAAAATACAACTGCAATCCACTATGATATTTCTGCTTCAACTAATTCCCAAATTATGAGATATTTAAACAAACCCCACAACAAGGAATAATTTACTTTTAAATTCCAATAGAGATTTTTTCTTTCCTTTTATTAAATTGTGAACTCTTTCTTACGTCTGCTCCTTTCTTTGTAGCTGGCACATATGTTCAACTTTCCTCATCTAGTTTACTATGTCTGACCCATAGTTTTTAAACCCGGCCCGGTGATTGACCCGGGAAGGTCTCCGGGTCACCGGGTCACCGGTTCAACCGCTGGGTCACCGGGTCAATTGCTGAACTGGATAATTAATTTTAAAATTTTTAAAATTATATATATATATATAGTATTTTGTCATATAAATATACATAAAATAACAAAATTAAATGTTTTGTATGTAAATTTGTATATTAAAGTGATAATAATATTTTTTTAATAATAAATATTTACCATATAAATATATATACATAGTTTTATTTTTAAAAAAATATAAATAAAAATAAAAAAATTTAAAATATATGTAGAGACCGGGTCAACCGGGTTGACCCAGCCGGGTCAATGCCCCGGGTCGCCCGGGTCAAAGCTGGGTTGACCGGGTTTTGACCGGTTCATTTGTTATCCGGTCTAATTAGCACACCCGGACCGGTTCTGGCTCCGGGTCGACCGGGTCTCGGGTCGACCCGCCGGGCCGGTCCGGGTTGAAAAACACTGGTCTGACCTTTTGCTTTACTTTATTTATTTAGAAAAATAATATTATTCAAATAAAAAAATAATTGTATACCTCAAATTAACTATCATTAATAAAATAAATTAAGAAAAACTAATTTTAAAAACCAAATAAAATATCAATAATCCCACTTAATAGTCTTTCTTCAACCCCATCATGTCACTCATTTCACTAAACAAAAAGCACATAACTAATAGCTCACACAGGCACTTCTAAAATGAATAAAAATAAACCATTCATAAACAGTAAATAAGCAAACTACTGATATCATTTGAAGCATGTTCTATTATAAAAATCTGCATACAATAAACTAGTCATAAACCATAAGTAAATTGAAATAAACTACTCACAAACCAAAAATAAACTGAGCAACATTATTATAAACTAGTCATAAACCATAAATAAACTGAAATAAACTACTCATAAACTAAAAGTAAAATGAGCAACATTATTATAAACTAGTCATAAACCATAAGTAAATTGAAATAAACTAGTCATAAACCATAAGTAAAACTAAAATAAACTACTCATAAACCAAAAGTAAACTGAGCAACATTATTATAAACTAGTCATAAACCATAAGTAAATTGAAATAAACTAGTCATAAACCATAAGTAAAACTAAAATAAACTACTCATAAACCAAAAGTAAACTGAACAACAATATTATAAACTAGTCATAAACCAACTACTCGTAAATCATAATTAAACTGGAATAAACTATAAGTAAACTGAAATAAACTAATCATAATCCATAAGTATACTAAAAATAAACTACTCATAAACCAAAAGTAAACTGAACAACATTATTATAACCTTAAATCTCCTTATTACAACAATTATCAAATAAATTTAACTCTTGAAATTGTTCAAAATATACATATCACACGAAGACAAACCCAGAATGTGCAAACAACTTTCTCCCTAATTCACATCAAGTTTATACACTTTTGCAAATACCAAAGCAAATATAAGAAGAAATTACAAAAAAATCCAAGCAGAGAATGAATTATCATTCTTTGGACACACGACCTCACAAACGGCAACAATATGCATTCATTGTCTCTTCCCTATAGATACACAGAAAGAATTAGTTAGATGATAAGGAAGAAACACAAACACATAACATCAAATATAACAGAAAAATATAAATAAATTAAAAAATAAATAATTATGTTTTTACAGTAAAATTATCTTTCAATTTCTCTCACAAAACAAGTTGGAAATTAAAATGGAAAATATTTTTCTAAACCGAAAGTCAGTAAATTATAGATCTATTATCAATCTATGAAACTCCTACAACAAAACCAAAAAAAAAAAAAGAACAAGAAAAAGCTAAACCCTAAATCAGTAAATCACAACTATGGATCCAAATAATTTAGTAAAGCACACCTTTTCGTTTCCCAGCTCCTTACGGTGACGGTGGCGCCGACGGTAGGAGAAAGGAATCGGACAGAGAGAAGATCTCGAATCGAGGGTGACGTTAGCGACTGATTCGATAGCGATGAGGATGCAAACCTCCCGCCAGTGGCATAGGCGGAGAAGCTCTCGTGGATTTGTTGGACACCTTCATCAAGTCGGTTCTTGTATTTCACAACCTTAATTTTAGTGAAATCGGTCTCTGGAGAAAAATTGAAAAGGGGCTTCGCAGGGGTGACAGGCGGCTACAAGGGATGGTGCGTGAAAGACGGTGGTGAAAAATTTATTTGCGTGAAGAGGCGGCGGTGATGGAGGAAAAATCACATAAGATAATTAATAATTAATTAAAGGAACCAAAGTGGTATTGAAACTTTTATAATCTCGTCAATATGCCTTCATGGAACCTAATGTGCGATTATTTTTTTTACCTCGTATAATGGGCCATATAAAAAGCTAGGATGATACGGAGGGTAATTTTCTCCTCTTTTTTCTAGTGCCACATAAGTTAGACTATGTCCATTTTTAATTGCATTGTGAAACATTTTTTTATAGACTATGTCTATTTCCTATATGGCATGTGATTTTTTTTCTAAGAGACCTAAAGCATTGTGGGTGCACCGTCTCGTTACGAAATCATTTAGTCAGAATTTGTAACTGCTAAATTGTATTTTTTGTTTGATTTTTTATTTTGCTTTTCTGATTTATTTTTGTGTATATTTATATATATTTTTATTAGTTGTTTTATTTTTGGTAGGATATTATTATTTTATTTTTTCCTTTATTAATAGGATTTTTGGAAAGAAAGAAATAATGATGGAACTTATATCTTGGAAATAAAGAGGAGATTTGGCTTGGAAAAATTGGATGGTGTATGCTGCGGATTTGGAAAAGAAAAATAAGAGTAGCAACATTTTTATTTCTCTTGGGATTTGTATGTAGCAGCAACGTGGAGTTCAAAGGCGATAAAAAGAGCATCAACAATATTTTTGTAAGAAGAGTAACAAGCATGCGGCAATCTATCTTGAGGAAAAGAACACGAACAATCAAAAGGAGTTTTTAACGACAAAGATCTTCCGGGCTTGTGTTCTTTAATCGTATATCATATTTGGGATTATTGTGTTATTCTCTTTTGATAGTTTGATGTGATATAGTGCATCTCGTTTAAACTCGCGTTTTATTTTTCATAGTTCACTAGACGTGTCGGAATTGTTTGAGAAACATTGTTATTAATTTGTTTTAGTGAACGTTTTGGCATGTGGCCTTAGTCTACAAGTATTATAACTTGTAGGCTAAATTTATAATCTTTCGTGTTATTTATTTCCGCTGCGTATTTTAATTTCTGATTTTGTGTGAAAATATGGATTGTTGCGTACCTAAAATTCTAACAATTTAATAAGTGTGATTCTGATTTTTTAGGTACGAATGGAGTTTACGGGGTTGCCGTTACCCACATTTGTTCCGAATCGGCCAAAGTCATCCAACGAAAAGATTAAATATGACGAATCTGATGCATTGGAGGAATCCTCGGTTGAGTACGAACCTAAAACTGCCTCTGGAACTGATTTTATGATAACCATGGACGAATCGAGGCCAAGAAAAATCGAACCAGCAGGTGTCAGCTGAGGTGTCACTCGAAGTGTCATGACACCAGACAGGTATGCAAATGAAAATTCTGAATTTTTTGCTTGAACTCCTTGTTTTGTGATGCTTCAGGCAGGGATTTAGGTCCTCCGAGCAGCCTTCAATTTGTTAGGTTTGAAGACCATGAAAAAGTGTACGTGGAACTTCATAAACGCTTTATAGATGCCGTATGGGAAGCGGATAGGCTCGAGAAGGAGAACCATAAGTTAAATGATGAGAATAAGAGGATGAAGTCAGAGGCTAAAAAGTTGGAAGAAGAGAACGATGCTTTAAAGTCTACCATAACCCAATTGGAGGTGACCATCTCTGGTCATGACCAAAAGTTAGTGAAGGTAAGAGAGGAACTTGGATACTCCAGTCAGACCTTCCAAAGACTTAACACCGGTAAGAGCCAATTGGATGTCCTAGCTGCTCTTGAACATAATCATAAGAAAGCGGGACTTGATTTTAAGCCTACTATATTTGTTCGTTCATCAGAGGAAGCAGGTGAGTCCTCAAAATCTACGCCTAAGGTTTTTAAGAATACAAAACAACGAAGGCGTCGGTATATTTGCCATTATTGTCATGCACCCGGGCACATTAGACCTTATTGTTATAAATTGCGTTCATTTGATAGGTCTTTTGAACCAGTGGTGCCTCATGTACCTCGTAATATGTCCAAAAATCACAGAACTATGACTAAAGAAAAATTTGTTTGGGTACCAAAATCTGAATTGAAATGCAATGTTATTCATACTTCTTTGAAGTCTAATATTGTAGGATCATGGTACTTTGATAGCGGGTGTTCGCGGCACATGACCGACACTCGTGATTTTTTGTCCGATGTTGAATCACATGAAGGTGGACATGTTACGTACGGAGGAGGAGAACATGGAAAGATCATAGGACGGGGAACACTCAATGTTGATAGTCTCCCAAAGCTCCAGAACGTGTTGTTGGTTGAAGGACTTATGGCTAATCTTATTAGCATAAGTCAATTATGTGATAATAACCTTCATGTTAAATTTGATCGTAACTTTTGTGATGTTCTTGATGAGGCTAATTCATGTATTTTGTCAGGTGTACGAACTACCCAAAATTGCTATCGGGTAAAAAATACTGAGGATGACGTTCGGGACGTGTTGGACCTTCCACTACATAGTGCTGCTCCAGGTGTCGCCCCAGATGTCATGACACCTGACACGACACCAGACACATCATTTGAGGCAACACGTATCTCCGACGAGCAAAATACCATTTTTGAGGTTGAGACACGATATGATGTGAATGTTACTGATTGGAGAAAAGTTGTTCGGAGATCTCTTCCTTTGTCACGATCCTTTGGTGAGGTAACAAATGATAGATTGTTTCATTTAATGGTAAGAAAGCTATGTGGTGTTTTCAGTAATGTTAATGATAATGTTTTCGAGAGAATTCTTGTTAATAATATGGTGTCTTTGCATGATTTGAAATCAATTTTTTCTTGTTGTCGACTTTTACGGATAAATCAAATGATTGAGAGTTATTGTCGACATAGTGATTTTTTAACCGTAGATTGTGATAGCAAGAGTGCTATTGATATTTCAAAAATCCGGTTCAAAATTCTTGCACAAAACACATAGATATAAGACGTCACTTTATTCGGGATCTAGTTGAGAAATACATATTCTGCATTGAGTACATAGGGATAGAGAATCATTTAGCCGATATATTCACCAAGACATTAGATTATGAGGGGTTTTCTAACTTAAGGAAATCTCTCAATTTTTGCATTGTTTGAACTAGAATAGGAATCGTGTTGCAACTTCCACGATGCATCATTGTTGTAACACGAGTTTTTGCATACATGCATTTTTTTATTTCTTTTCATTCATATTTGCATTATTATTGCATAAACGGTATATTTGTTGGAG